AAAGTAGAAATGGCCAGATTTGGGAGCAGATTGGGGGTGGGGTGAAAGAGAGTGAGGGGTTTGGGATAATGCCAAGGTTATGTCCTTGGGAGATGAAAAGACAAATAGGAAAATTTGGAAGTGGGGAGGAGATAGGGGGAAAGAGGAGTAGTTCTGTTGTGGACACATTGAGTTTAATTGGTGGTATAGGACTGAAGCTCAGGAGAGAGACTGGGGCTGGGTGTAGACTAGGTCTGGAGTTATCTGTACAAAGATAAGAGGCCAACCCATGGGATCAGAAGAAGTCATCGAGGAGTGTGGAAGGAACAGAGCCTTGAGGGAAACACTCACATTTAGGGGGATAATGTGGATAATGAACTGGCAAAGGAGACTGAGGATCTGCCAGATGGGTAGGAGGCAAACCAGCAGAGAGCTGGAGAGGAGGCAGTGTGCAGGAAAAGAGGGTGGTCAGCACAGCTTCGGGCTAGAGGTCAGAAGCCAGTCTAGAAAGGGCTGAGGAGAGAGAAGGGCAGTGACCAACTGTAGACAACTCACTCAAAGATCTTAACTGAGAAAAGGAGGAGAGATGGGAGCGGGGGCGGGGGGGGGGGGGGCAATGCCCTAAGAGAACGGTAGGATTGAGTGAAGGTTTTTATGGACGAGGGAGACAGGGCATGTTTCAAGGCTATTGGGAAGGAACCATTTGATGGGCAGAGATTGAAGATTGGGGGGGAGGATCATTGAGGGCCCAGTCTTAAGACAAGAATGAAGGGAATGTTTCTGGAGTGCAGGTGTGTCCGGAGGGGTTGGCCTTGGCAAGACGGAGAGAGTGGGAGATGATGGGGAAAGAAGGGAGCTCACTGCAAGTGGTCTCAATTTTCTCAGTAAAGAGGCAGAGTTCTCAGCTAAGAGAATAAGGAGAAGGGGGCGATATGAGACTCTTGAAAAAAGAAATAGATTCTATGCGAAGTGAGGTAGGGAAATCAGGGAGGAATAAAAAGATTGCCTTGTTGCAGTGAGGACCCTGTAGAGGTTGAATAACATTCATTTTGTGAGGAACCAGGAGGAGTGGACAGTGGACCCTGGGCTGAGGTTTAGCAAGAGAAGACCATCAGTAAGAGAAGTGGGCAGGGAATTCAGGAGCAAAAGACAATACAGAGCTGAGATAGTGGCTAGAACACTCAGCTTGAAGTCAAGAACACCTAGGCTCCAGGCAGTCAGTCCATCGGCAGGCATCGTTCCAAGGATACAAAGACAAAAGTGAAACAATCCTCCCCCCATATTCGGTGGGTGTGTGACCCTGGGCAAGTTATTTAACTTTACTCAGCCTCAATTTCCTCATCTGTAGCACCTATCTCCCAGGGTTATTGTGGATATCAAATGAGATCACATATGTAAAGCACTCTGCAAACCTTAAAAGTGCTACATATAGATTGAAACCTATCCAAATAGAGATATCTATGTCTATATAGCTATATACATATAGTTGTATCTATCAATCAGTCTATTGATCTAACGATCTTTCTGTCTCTGTCTGTCTGTTTACCTACCTACCTACCTACTTACCTATCTATGTATCTGTCAGATCAGTCAAGATGGATTTAATTGCCTGCTATATGCCAGGCACTATGCTGTTGGGTCACACAGCCAGTGTGTGTCAGAGAGGAGATTTGAACCCAAAGCCTCTGGCTTCCCCCCGTAGAACCACATATTGTCTCATGGTGCTAGCCCTCTAACCATTACACCACACTGTCTCTCCCATTGTAAGTGACATCACCATGATGTCTGCGTCCCCTCTCACACAGAAATGGCCAGGACAAGTTACCATTCCTGTTCGCGTTCCTTTCAGGTCGTGATCAAATATGTCCCGTACGTGGGGGACAGCAAGCGAGCTATGGACGAATACACTTCCGAGATCATGCTTGGGGGCACCAACACTATAGTCCTTCATAACACGTGCGAGGTACCGGGAGTGGGGGTGGCCGCAGAGGGGTTGGCCCTGTGGGTGGGCCCTGGGAGGCGGGCCCCTCTGCCGCCCCTCCTCCGCCCCCTTCATGTGCCCTGTGCCCCCAGGACTCCCTCCTGGCCAGCCCCATCATCCTGGACCTAGTGATCCTCACGGAGCTGTGCCAGCGCATCACCTTCTGCACTGACAGCGACCCCCACTTCCAGAACTTCCACTCAGTGCTGTCCATTCTTAGCTTCCTCTGCAAGGCCCCGATGGTGCCCCCGGGTACCCCCGTGGTCAATGCCCTCTTCCGGCAGAGAGGCTGCATAGAGAACATTCTCAGGTGAGAGCCCACAGGGCCTGGGGGAGGGGCTGCTCTGGGTACTGGGCTGCAGGAATGGGGGGAGGGGAGGCTCTCTTCTTGGCCAGGGCTGATGGCATCCCTCCCGTCCCCCCAGGGCGTGTGTGGGTCTTGCTCCCCAGAACCACATGCTGCTGGAGCACAAGATGGAGCGTGTAAGCAGCGAGTTTCGACGTGAGGGTGCCGAAGCCCCCGCCTGCCCTGTGCCCCAGAAGAAGGGGATAGCAGCTTTTCCCCCCAATGGTTATGTGGGTGGCACGAATGGGCACACACATGCCAGTGCCCAGCATGCCCCTGCCTCCTAGCAGCCTTGGGATCTTCACCAGTGATCCCTGCCAGTCTCAGCCCTTACCACGGTACCCACCAAGGCCTCTGTGAATCCAGCCTCTCCCATCCCAATAAATCTGGCATGAGAATGGTGTTTGCCCTAAGCCCTTGGCTGATTCTTTTCCTGGAGGCCACCTTGGCTGGCTGGACAGCCAGCCTCACCCTGCCCCTGTCATTCTGTGACCTGGACAGCCAGGGAGGTCGTGTCCAGCTCTTAGGTTCTGTGATTCCATCAGGGTGGTGCTGGGGAGGAAGGAAATGTAAACTTCTCCTGGTTAAGAAACAGGATGGCCAGCCCCAGAGAGGGCACAGAGGGAAAGGCAGACAGATCTGCCCTGGATGACCTCTCCCAGGGAGGCATCTTGGAACAACGGACAAAGCATTGGGTTTGGAGACCCAGGTTCCTGGCTCTTTGACTTACTCCCTATATGACCTTGGGCAAGTCATTTGACCTGTTTCCTCACCTGTAAAATGAGGGGTTTGGACTCAATGCTTTCTAAGATCCCTTCTCGCTGATCCCACCCCATCCGATGTAGTCTCTTCCCCGGTACCCAAGCCTCGCCTGGCAGCCTCAGTCCTATCCCTGTCTTCCAGGACTCTGAAACCATCTCATCCGAGGTCAGTTTCATTCACCTCCAAAGACTTCATCAAGCCTAGGATGGTCCCATGTCAGGAGAGCCTCCCTCGCCCCAGACGGATCCCTGTCTAGCTTCAGCCACCCCATGCACGGAGCTGTAACTAGCCTAGAGAGGTCTCCAGTCCTCTCCTCTTCCTCTGTCTCTCCGATGCCTTTTGGGAAGCCACCTTTATCACTATCGAATTCCCCTTCTCTCCCAGTCGTCCTCCCTGGCTTTCTCCTGAAAACATCCCATTGCACAGCACCCTGCCAAGGCTGGCTGCCCCTTCTCTCTCACTCCGATTCTCCCATCCCTCTGTCACCTTTCACAGAATCACAAAACACCGACTTGGGAGGGATCTTGGCAGCCATCATACCCAGTCTCTCCTCCAAGGCAGCCCATTCTTTTTTTTGGGGGGGTGGGGTTGGGTTTAAGTGCCTTGCCCAGGGTCACACAGCCAGGAAGTGTCAAGTGTTTGGTCTGAGGCCAAATTTGAACTCTGGTCCTCCTGACTTAAGAGCCAGTGCTCTATCCACTGCGCCACCTAGCTGCCTGTAGGCAGCCCATTCTTAACAAGCCTTAGTTGACCTCCTGAAACGTCCCCTCCCACCCCCACCCCCACCGCTTCTGGTTCTACCTTCCAGGGTCACACGGAATAATAACAATAGCCAATATTTATATAGCACCTAGTATGTGCCAGGCACTGTGCTAAGTGCTTTAAGTTATCTCACTGGATTCACACAACAGCCCTGGGAGATGAGGGTGCTATTATTTTTCCCATTTTACAGGTGAGGAAACTGAGGCAAACAGAGGTAAAGTGATTTGCCCAGGGTCACAACTAGTGAGTATCTGAGGCTGGATTCAAACTCGGGTCTTCCATACTCTAGGCCTGTTGCTCTACCCACTGTGCCACCTAGAACAAACCTTGGCTCTCGTCAACAGGCCAACCCTTTCAAAGACTAGTCCACAGCTCTTGTGTCTTTGCTACCTACCTACCCGCAGCCTTCTCTGGACTCAATGCCGTATTTCTTCACCAGATCTTCATTCCTGTGGGACCCCACCCCCCTCAAGTTTGCTCCATCCTGCCCATCTTTGTTGCTAACTCCTCTAGACCTTTCCTTCTTTAAGTCACTTCTTTCCCACCAGTAAATTGGGCACACGGCTGATGGTCTGCTCCTCTACCGCAATCTGTCTGCCCCCCACTTTGGACCTCCCAGTTTCCGAGTTCCTCAGACCCCTCATTTCCTAAAGTTCTCTCTCTCATTTGCCCAACCATGTCCAGAATGGTCATTCCTTACATGCTGTTAAGACATCTTAGACAGGGAGGTGCTACGTTTAAAGGGTAGAAGACCTGAATTCAAATTCTACCTTAGACACTGGCTGTTATCCCAGGCACATTAAGTAACCTCCCTGGGCCTCAGTTTTCTTATATGTAAAAGGGGAGGAGGGGTCTGGCCTCGACAGCTTTTCAGGTTTCTTCCCGTTCTAAATCTATTTCCACTTCCTTCCCTCACAAAAAAACCCCTGCCAGCATTTATGTAGCTTTCAGATGCCCAACTCTGCGGGACCACCCAGTGCGACTCACCCTGCTCTGCATGCTCTTGTCCATTCTTGACCTATTTCCAGTACCAGCCTTTATGGAGCTGGGGTGGGCACCACCTCCACTAGCCTGGCCACTTGAGAAGCGGGGAAGGACACAGGAGCCACGCACGGGTTATGAAAAAAAATCAAATTCCATTTATTGTTGCAGGTTCCCCACCCTCCCCCCACCCCCTCCCATGGCTCCGTCTTGACAGCCCTGGCGGTGGAGTTAGAACGTCCAATCCCACGGCCTGAGCCCCAGCCCTGGGGCCAGGGGCGCCCCCGCGGGGTGAAGGGCTGTACAGCTGGGGGAATGGACTCCGGTCCATCTGTCTGTCTCTGAGGTCCTCGCGGTATAAAAGTAAAGTTGTTGGTGCATGAACGTCAGGCCTGCAGGCCCCCGATGGGCACTGAGGAGTGAAGAGGGCAGCAGCCCCTGGCCTGAAAGGGTCCGGCTGCTCTGCCTTCCCCGGAACCGGGGGCACTTCAGCAGAGGTGGGCAGCCTCAGCCTCCCCTGGCCCAGGCCTTGGGGCTGTCAGAAGGTCAGAGTGGACCCAGGCTGAAGGGACGGCCCAGCCCGTTCCTCGTTCTGTCCAAATGTCCGAAGCAACCTCTGGCACCTCCCATCCCCCTGTCCCTTCCTCCAGGCCCAGAAGACCAACTGGGGTTGCCTTGACCTCTGAGTCAGAGTTCAGGAGCACCCCCCACCACCCCCAGCTTGTCCAAAAGGCCACAAGGTTGGGGTGATGGGGCAGCCAGCCCCAGATGCCCAGATGCCCAGATGCTGACACCCCAGTGGGTGCCCATGGGCGAGGTCTGAGAGGGCTGGGGAAAGGAAGTGTATGGGGAGGAGAAGGGGAAGGAGGGTATCCGGTCCTTAAATACACAAGTTTACAAGGGGGCCAGGGCTGAGGGTAGTGCTGTCTTCACACACTCATGGTCAAGCTGGGTGAGTACTGTGGAGAGAACAGAAGGGCCGGAGCGGGGGACTCAGCTCCTGTTCCAAGGAGATGAGCCCCCCCCCTCCTGTCCCACCCCAGGGAGAAACAGCCAGGATCACAGGGATTCACAGCTGCAAGGGACCTGAGAGCTCAGATGGAACATCCCGTTCACTGACCAGAGGCCAATCATAACTGGTCCCTACTAGGCCTCCTTCTGAGGACGCCAGATTTACAAAGTGCGCGCTCCTCACCAATGAGCACAAGCATGAGCTGCCTCAGTTTACAGATGAAGCCCAGGCTCAGGGGACTTGCCCAAGCTGGTAGAGATGATGCTGAAACCCAGGTGTCCTGCCTCCAAGCCCAGTGGCCATGCTACTACCCCTCTCTGCCTCTTTCTCGCTGGCTCCAGCTCTTTTCCAGTCCTCCCGCCCCCCCCCCCCCCAGGGGAAGGGGGTTCCAAACCTCCCGGGAGTTGGGCACCCTGGTAGGGGGTGAGCACTGGTGCCTGTGGGAGGGGGGCAGTGCCCAAGATGGGACACAGAAGGTGGGCAGTGCCCATGGGCAGGGGAGGGGGTAGGGAGGAACAGGGGTTGCCCGAGGCCGGCCCTCCCACCTGGTGCCCCTCGGCCCGGCCCGGCGGTCACGGTCTTGCTCTGGCCCCCCGGCCACCGCGCTTGGGCCTGCCCGCGAGGCCCCTCCTGCCCGACGCGGGGGGAGGGTTGGCACGGTCGCTTACGCTTTCGCTCTGGAAGGGGTTGAGGAAGGTCCCGCCCATCTCGCCGTCGTCCCGTGGGGTGCCTGGGGGGTTGCTCATGCCGGCCATGTTGTTCGGAGAGTTCTGGGAGTGGGGGGATCCCCCCAGTCAGTGGGTCCCGTCCCCATTCCCCACCCTGGGGCCCACCCAGCCTTGGAGGGGGCAGGGAGAAGGGGATTCCATTGAGGGGAGATGATGGAGGCAGGGGGGTCTATCCAGTAGCAAGGGACACTGGAGGGGAAGGAGTCCAGGGTGGGGAGGAGGCCAGGAGGCCCCATGGGCCATTCTGTGCTCCTGCTTGGAGGGGAGGGGATCACAAGGAAGGGGCAGAGGTCAAAGGCATCACCAATCAGAAGCAGTCAGGGTACTTCCCTTACCTTGGACAACCCGTCCATGTCACCTGAGCCTGTGCAGAAAAACAGAGAGCCGGATAGTGGCCGAGGGCAGGGTGGAGGCGTAGGCTTCCAAGCTTACCCACCAAGACCAGTCTCTCCTCCCATCCAGCCGGGGGTCGGGCCTCTCCACCTCTAGGCTCTCCCAACTAGTACCACTGGCTGGGAGCCACAGAGAGATTTCATTTCACATAGAAGAAAAAACTTCCAAACAAGTTCCCAAAGTGGAATGAGCCACGTAGGGTAATGAGCTCCCTGTCCCTGGAAGGGATGGAACAAAGGCTAAGAAACCACCTGTCAAGAATGGAAACCTTGGAAGGAAGTCATCACACCATCTTCAAGTTTGTGATAGAGGTGTGGGGGAAGAGGGATAACTGACATGTACCCTAGATGGTGGGAGTGGAGATTGCAAAGTCTAGGTAGAAGCCTTTGGCCTGAAATTCTGCCAGAGTAATGAACCCCAAAAGGATGGGAAGCCCTCGGGAAGGCAATCTGAAGACAAACAAATGACTCTGAGGAGGAAGATAAAGCAGAGATGTCTAGAGACAATGCTGTGGAGGAGCCCGGCCATCGCTCAACAGCTTCTGTGCAGAAAAACAAATGGAAGGAAGGAAGGAAGGGCATGTAATGATGGGTGGATCCCAAAGCATGGCATGGCCCGCTGAGAACAAGGTCAGAATGATCTGAGGACAACAAAAGGCATTTGACAAAGCTAGATTGGGGCCGGAGGAAGGTCAGAGAAGCTATTCTAAATTTAGAAGGCCGTTGAGTCCAGCCCTCTCATCAGACAGGGAAAACTGAGGCATCCTAGGTAGGTGACTTGCCCATCACATCACAGCTAGGAAGTGTTTCGGGCAGGATTTAAGTCATTGTTCAACCCCCATTTGGGGTTTTCTTGGCAGAGATACTGGAGTGGTTTGCCATTTCCTTCCCCAGCTCATTTTACAGATAAAGAAACTGAGGCAAGATAAGGAAACTGAGGCAAGTAGAGTTAAGTGATTTCCCCAGGGTCACACAGCTATAGTAATTGTCTGAGGCCAGATTTGAACTCAAGTCTTCCCGACTCTAAGCCCAGCACACTAACCACTGAGCCACCTACCTGCCTCCTAGGCAGAGGTTAAGTGACTTGCCCAAGGTCACGCAGCTAGTAGGTGTCTGAGGCCAGATTTGAACTCAGGCCTTCCTAACATGCAGCTATGTGGTACGATGGATAGAGTGCCATGCCTGGAGTTGGAAAGACCCATCTTCCTGAGTTCAAATCATCACCAAGTCTTAATCATTTTTCCTCTCCCATCTAACTCCTCAGATCTATTCACTTGGCCCCCCAAGGCAATCCTGCATCATCTCTTACCTGGACTATTGTTAGAATCTCCTAAATAGATTTAAGAGGCAACATGGTATACTGAATGGAGTTTGGGGCTTGAGGTCAGAAATCCTGTCAGACATTTATTAGCTTAACTGATTGACCTGGACAAGTCCACTTACCTCTCTTTGCCTCAGTTTCCACCTCTGTAAAATGAAGAAGGTTGAAGGATGGAATCTAAGGTCCCATCCAGTGCTAAATCAACAAAGCATTTATTAAACCCCTACTGTATGCAAAGGACTGTGCTAAGCACAAAACATAGTCCCTGCCCTCAAGGAGCTCACATTCAAAGAGGGGAGGTAACATGCAAACAACTGTGTACAAATGAGATACCAGGATCGACTGCAAACAATCCTAGAGGAAAGGCATTAGCATGAAGGGGGCTGAATAAGGGGGCTGCTCCTCACAGAAGGTCCTGAAACATCCTTATGTCCCGGCCAGCCTCCAGTCTCCTCTTTCTGCTCGAAGCCCGCCATCCACACAGCTGGCGGCCAAAGCGGCATTCCTAAAGCAAGGGTCTAACCTTCCTAAAGCAAGGGTCTAACTTTGTCCCGTTCCTGCTCCAAAACGCCTGGTTATGCCCCCTCTTGCCTCAAACACAAAACATCAACTCCTGTCATTGGCACTGAAAGGCTTCCATGGTCTGGCTCCGGCCAGTCTTTCCAGGTTTATCACCTATTGCTCCCCTCTCTGGGATCTGTGGCTCAGCCAATCTGGCCTGCTGCCGGTGCCTCAGTAGCCTCACGGAATGGCCCCTGCTTACCATTCCTGTGTGCAGGCTGGCCTCCCTGCCTTCCCTCACCTGGAAAGCCCTCCTTCCTTAGCCTACTCCAAGGCTCTAGTCTTATCTTCCCTTACGCTGGGAGCTCCTAGAGGGGAGGGGCTGTCGTTTGCCTTTCTCTGTATCCCTAGGACTTAGCACTGTGTCTGACATATATAATGGGTGCTTAAAAAAAGTTTGTTGATTGATAAATACTTGTCAAATGACTGACAGAGACAAGTTAGAACTATTCAATTCTTGTTCTGGTGTTTCTCTACTAAGAAGGAGGATTTTCAGAGTGAGACAAAAGCCAGGAGATAAGAGAGCACCTAGTTCCCTTTAACGAATTTAATTCAGCAGGCCCTAACTTGGGGGGGCGGGAAGAGGGCTAAGAGGCAGGTGTGACTGCTGAGTAACTATCATTGATTTCTCTCTCTGAAAGATGTCGCTGCTATGTGTCCTTAGTTCTCAGATAGGACCATGACCTCAAGGAGGTGATGCCATGACTTGCAAGTGAAGTGGATTTAAGTGAGGCAGGGCTGTGCAAAGTCACCAGCCTCACTTTCTCCTCCAGAGCCATCTGGGTCCAGTGGCCAGATATGGATCAGGATGACTGGAGATGGCCCAGGATGCAGTGCGGGACTTGGGCCTGTTCAAGCTAAAGCCTCACTTTGACTGAGGCAACACCCATTCAGTGATTAAGGCTTTATAAAAAATGAGGCAAAGAATGGCCTCTTTAAGAAATAAATAAATAAATGATGGATCTAGGAGGAGAAGACATGGAGAATGGGAGAGATTCCACAAGCCCAGAGACAGGCAAAGGTCCTGATTTTCCAAAAAGGGAAGGAAATCTGCATACTCTTCAAGTAGAAGCCGGCTGAGTGTTCTTTTTTTCTTGGGATTACGAGGTCAGGGAAAAGACTGTATAGTTTCAGCTTTCTGGATTTTTAGCTAAGCCTCTGACAAAGTCTCAGAGATGGAGAGAGGCAGGCAGGGTTATGGTGGTAAGGTCTCAATACAGAACTGGCTGAATAACGAGACCCCAAAGTATAAGAATTAACAGGGGAATGTAAACGGGGAAGGAGGTCTCTGGCTGAATGCCTCAGGGATCTGGCCTTGGCCTGATGCTATCCAAGAAGACCCAGATGGCATGTCAAGTTGGGTAATACTGCTCTTTTCTTCTCTCCTCTCTCTCTCTCTGTTGTTGTTTTTCAATCATTTCAGTCATGCCCAACTCTTCATGACTCCATTTGGGGTCTTCTTGGCACAGATACGGGAGCAGTTTGCCATTTCCTTCTCCAGCTCATTTTACAGATGAGGAAAGAGGGTTAAGTGACTTGTCTGAGGTCACATAGCTAGTGTCTGAAGCTGGATTTGCACTCAGTTCTTCCTGACTCCAGGCCTGGCAGTCTCAGGATACAACAAAGATCTCAGTGGGTTAGAATGTGTTTGGTGGGGCAGCTAGGTGGTGCAGTGGACGTAGCTCTGGCCTTGGAGTCAGAACCCCATTGCCTCATCGAACAAAAGAAAAATAAGGGGCAGCTAGGTGGCTCAGTGAATAGAACACTGGCCCGGATTCAGGAGGACCTGAGTTCAAATCCGGCCTCAGACACATAACACTTACCAGCTGTGTGGCCCTGGGCAAGTCACTTAACCCCATTGCCTCATCAAAAGAAAAAGAAAAAGAAAATAAATTTAAAAAAAAAACGTGTTTGGTGCACACAAAGATTTAAAGCAAGGGACATGGGTTCAAACCCTGACTCATATTATCAGTGTGACCTTGGACAAATTATTTTAACTTCTTCGGGTTTCCATTTCCTCTGTAAAATTAGTGGGATGATCTTTAAGGGCCCTCTTAGGCCTAGGCCTATACGAGCCAATATGTAGTATACCAGGGAGCAACATAAAATTCTCTACTTGGGCTCAAAAAATCAGCCGCACAAGGTGGGGAAGATGTGGCTGTCAGTCAAGAGACATGTATTAAGCACCAACTGTGTTCCCATTGTGTCAGCCATCTGAGTGTTTACTGAACCATAAGGTCAGCGTGAGTCAACTAATTTTATCTTGGTAGCCAAAAAAGCTAAGTCAATCTAAGGTTGCATTAGTGTTTAGAATAAGGGAAATGATACCATCGTCCTCCACCCCCTCAGATCTGACCTGGAGTATTGTGCTGAGCCCTGCATTCAGGAAAAACGGCAAAGGGAGCTGGGTCAGGACGGTGGGAGGGCTGGCAACCTCCCCAGGCGGAGGAGATGAGGAGGACGGGGGCAGAGGGCATGGTGTTCTGTTGGCAGGATGGGCAGGTAATGATCATCAAAGCAGGCCAAGGGCTCTCTCATGCAGAAGAGGCACTGGCCTGGTTCAGCTAGACCCCAGAAGGAGAGACAGTCTGGGGAAATGACAGAGGGGCAGAATTGGTCCAGCTCTCTAATAGTCAATTCAGAGGGTGGCCAGCTCTCTTCACCCGAGGCCTTCAGGCCGCTCATGAGATCATCAGTTTGGAGCTGAAACGGGCCAGGCCCCCGCCCAAGGGCTCTATGGACAGATCTCAAGGGGTCTGTAAACTTGGATGGGAAAAACAAATTACCTTGATTTTCACTAACCTCTAACTGAAATGGAGCATTTCCTTCCATGATTTTTCAAAGTTAATTCAAGGGACTTGCCCCAAGGGCCCAGGATTCAAAAACGGTTAAGAAGCTCAGAGCTAGACCAACACCAACCCCTTCATTTTATTTGGTGGGGTTTTTTTTGTTTTGTTTTTTAGGCAATTGAGGTTAAGTGACTTGCCCAGGGTCACACAGCTAGTAAGTGTCAAATGTTTGGTCTGAGGCTGGATTTGAACTCAGGTCCTCCTGAGTGCAGGGCCAGTGCTCTATCCACTGCGCCACCTAGCTTCCCCCAACCCCTTCATTTTACAGAAAAGCCAAGGAGTGTAAGTGACTTGATCCCAGTCAAACAGGCAGTAAGTGGCAAAGCTGAGTCCCAATTCAGAGCTCCTCCCCACTCCTGTTGGGCCATCACCTGCCTACTCAGAACATCCAGCTTTGTCTGATCCAAAAGTCAGCTTCCTAAAGCACAGGCCCACTCCTGTGCCACCCAGGTTCTGATCCTTTGGGGGCTTCCCATGACCCCAAAGCAAGGTCCAAACTAACTCCCCCAGTGAATCAATCAAGCCCGAACCTCTACCATCTCCCCTTACCTCCTCCTTCCCACAACCAGCTTTGTCTCTGTCCTTTACTGTCTCTGTCTCTGTCTGTTCTTTACTCAGGTCATTGCCTTGGCCTACAGCTTTTTTCCCCTAACCTAAACTTTCCTTAAACTTCAAATCCCATCTCTTCTATGAAATCTTCCCTAATTATCCCCAGCCTCTCATGAAGCCTAGCCTTTTCAAGCCAGGAGAGTTCTTAGAACCCAGAATGTCAGGGCTGAGAGGGCCCTTAGAACCCAGAATGTCAGAGCTGGGAGGGCCCTTAGGACACAGAATGTCAGAGC